CATCAACTGAGCAGCCCCCTTTCCCAAAACACCTTACTTGTTTCTTGAGTGGGATGATTACACAGGTCATGTCAAATATTTTTATATGCAAACTATTAAAGTAAATTCAAACGCAAGTACACTTCATTTATAGGTATGAAACAACTGAAAGACAATATAAAGATCTACAGATTACATGCAATTCATTAAATAAACAAGTGGAAGCAATGAAGAAACAAAATGAATCACTCAYGCAGCAGAATGACAGGTAAGTTCAGTCTTGGATTTTTAAAGCAAGTTAAASAGTAAAACTAAATAGCATTTTAGTGGCAGTTTTTCAGCTGTGCTTTAAGCAATATCTGAGAAGTGAAGTTAGAGGAAGCCAAAGATGCTTCAGGGTTTATATCTTTATGTTGGTAGAAAATCTGTAGTAGTGGCTGGAGTGGTTTGTTTGCTCCTTAATTGGTTTGAAGTGGTGAGGGAACTTCCACAGACTTCAGAGACAATAAGAAGAGAAAGATGATGACCCAGTTCTTTGGTGCATTTGGGAGATCRTGCAGGTGTCATTTTGGTTGTTGAATTCTTAAATGCTTTTATCACCCAAAGATTTTCATGTATTCCCTTTTAGCCTGCAAGTTTTCTCTTAACATTGGAAAAAAAAAAACTGAAACAACCAACCCTACTAAATGAACACATTTGAAAATTGTATTAGAAGTCATGATGATGTTTTATACCACAGGCCAAATACCAACCATAAAATTTGCATTACCTATGTTTTCTTGAGGAGTAATTATAATTTTTCCYTTTTGATGGCTTAAAATAGAGGTTGGGTATACCTTTCTCCAATGTAACTAAGGGAATATAGGACTCTTCTTTGACAGATTTTATTTAATACATAACTTTGCAGAAGACATCTTTAAAATATGTTCATAGGCAGGCCTTGCATTCAGCTGAGAAATAAAATGCTATTCTTGGTTTTGCTTGCAAAGTTCACTTCGTCCTTCCAGGCTCTTGCCTTGTCAGAAATCAGAGCAGTCCAAGTCACTGCCTTGAGTTCTGATTCAAATGGAAAATTTACATACTGATACATTAGTTTGCTACTGAATAAATTTGGCCACTTCTATCCAAGAGTATAACATGAAGCTCAGGATAATTGGGGAGATATTCTGATGACAGCTGACTCTTGTTAAAGGCAGGTTAGAGGAGCAGTTATTATACAGATAGTCTTGAACTGCCACAAAAATGGAGACCATGGAATTATATGTCACTCCCTCTTGCTAGAGGCTGCAACTTAGAAACTGGTAGATAAGAAGTGGATAAACAAGTAAATGAAAGTGACAGCAGTTGCAATCTAAGCAAGGCAAGTGGCAAGTAGAATATGCCTTCAAAATTAGTCTAGCTGGTAATAGAAAAGCCAATCAGCTTCAGGGAGTATAAAGAACTCATGTTAGAACTGTACTGCTGGGGGATGACAGTGTCTGTGTATTTAATGGGTGTGGAAACTGAGCATTACCCTAACCAGGGAGAACTGGGGCAGATCTGTTCATGAATTGTGGCACTATTGTATGGTACGGTCATTTTGGAGAGTTGTGTGACAATCTGGAAGATGTTCTGAATGGTGTTTTTTGTGCATAGATGTCCTTGCATGGGTAATACCTGAAACAGGTTTTAYTAATTGTATTGTCTCTTCAGGAGCWTAGCAAGAGCTAAAACYCCWGCATCCTRAATCACTAATGGCAGGGAACTTTTACTTGTGTTGAATGACAATTTCAGTTCTGCCACAGTCGTTTTGAATGATTTGTGGCTGTCATCAAAGGCACCAATTGCTGGGTTTTGTGTTCTGGTTACCAGCCTTTTCAGTGGTTTCTACCATGATCAGAGAAGGGCAGTGACTGTTTCATGGTGGCAGGAAGGAAATAAGATCTATCTGTGCTCACACCCTGCCCATTCATAGGTTTGATGAGTTGAAGCTCTTGGCAGCAGCAACTGGAAATKATACAAAAATAATTCTAGCTTCTTAGGACAGGCAAATGGTGRCATATCTCATTTTGATCATTAAAATTTGTTTCTCTGCACTTTTAGGACTGCTGCACAGTTAGTAGAAAGTGAAGATCACAGAAAAGAATTACAGGAACAGCTACAGGAGAGAGATGCCAAAATAGAGAGTAAGTGACTGACCTAAAGGTTGCTGAAGCTATCTGCTTTAACTGAATGTTGTTTTATGGGTTCTAGACAAGCTGTTGTATCTTATTGAGCAACTTGTAAATCTTAAAAGCTGGCCACAGATACATAATTTAATAGTTGAAYGAAACTAATACAGATTTTAATTTTTTAGAAAGGWTGCATGAAGTTGAWTTCCCTGACATCACTGAATGTCTGYGTAGCATCGTATGTCCGTTCAGGATCTTCTTACAATATGCCCATTAGAACTATATTCTGTAGAAACTGCAAATTAGAAGAGCTTMATTTAATTCTTTCTGCAAGTGATYGGAAACAAACACTAAAATTTAGCTGTAGGTGGCACTACTCAGTAATTCAATTAGCAGCCATGTTGAGTTAAAAAAAAATTAATAAAAAACCTTGTTTCCCAAGCCAATGCAGTGTCTGTTTTCTAAGTTTGGCATCCAATCTTTTAATGTGTTCATTTTCTTCAGCTTTGCAACAGAAAATAAATGTTCTGGAAGAAAAAGTAAAAACTCAACAGGAAGAAAAAACAGATATGGAACAAACTATTGATATCCTTAGAAAGGAATTAAGTGAAACARAGCAAGCAAGGGAAGAACTGAGTATCAAGGTAAGGAATTATTKGTGCTTGCATTTCTGACACTGAAGTTTTAGGTATCTGTTTAATTGATAGAGTTTGTTATTCACTGTTTTGGTGGTTGAGTACCTGAAGACCCTAGAGCGGTCTATGTAGTAATGGACAAGAACAAATTCTCTCAACTTTAATTGTGTACCTCTTGAGTTTTAAGTCAGGATCAAGTTCTAATGAGGCTCGGTGGGGCATGGTGTGTGAGTACATACAGTTTRGAAGGTAAAAAACCTCACCAAACCTGTGGCATAATGTTAAATAAGAGAGTGTAACACATTTCTCTTCAGTAGTTTTGRCTACTGAAAATGTGGATTATCTTGCTTTCCCTCCCTTTCTCACATCCTGAATTAAGGTACACATGTATGCACTAAAGGGTTTTTTTTAATCATTGAAAAAAACAGTTTTTATCTCCAAGAAAAAGAGTATTTTTTCAAAAGAGAGACTGTTTTGGCTATACCAAATTAAAAGGGTTATGTTGACAAAAAAAAAACCAACTAAATCCCCCAAGCTTTACTGCAACCTATATGTCCTTGACTGCAGGTAAGACTCCCTTTAAAATTACAAGGCAGAGATTCATTTTGCATGTAAACTGACCAGCAGATGCAAAGTGGGCAGTCTGACAAACACATTTACTGTATTCCCATTTCCTGGAAATAGTATCCACTATATAGCAAATATTTTCTTTGTTCTCAGTAAAAGTTTACTGGTTTGGTGCTTGAAATGAAATGTAGATGGTAACACAAGGATAAACAGGAGGGTTGGTGCTTTCCCATAGTATCCAACATTTTGCAGTATGGCAGTAGCTATAATCACTCATGTGCACCAAATGTACAGCTGGGAGAGATTTTTGAAATAAATTTGGAATTTTAAAACTGCTTTTTAATTACTTGTTCAAGTTCACCACCAGGCCACCCAGCTTTCACTGTATTGTGTATATTTTGATAATGGAGGAAATGATAACATTTTGTTTGTTTCTGCAGGCATCTTCKCTGGAAGTTCAAAAATCCCAGTTGGAAGAATGCTTGGGAGAAAAAGAAGTACTCATAAATCTACAGAAGGAAGAGTTGGACAAACATGCCAGCATGATTGCAATAATTCACAAACTCAGTGGTGGCAAGCTAAATGCAGAAACARTGAACCTCAGTTTGTAGGGCTCTGTTTCCTGTGCTTTATAGTTTCTTTTAAATGAGCTAAGTTATAGGGATGACTGCCAGCTTTGTAGGCAGCACAGGTAGTTTGACTGCATTTTTGCGTAATGCAGTTGTTGCTTAGAAAGGTCAGCAACAAAAAAAAAAATGTTATCAGAATTGCTGAATTAAGGAGTTTTGTTGGAGTTTTGCAAACTCAGTTGGGAAASAAAGCATTATTAACCATGAATTTTTGCTTCAGTGTAATGGGTTGAAAACATTTAGAGTAGAGTAACATTTAAAGTAGATTTGCAGACATGGATTCTTTCCCTTTAAATCTCTTGGTCGTGGAGAAAGGGTAAGTAAATGTTGGGAGGGGTTTTGTTGTTTGGGGTGTTTTTTCCTTCTTTTCTATCAGAAACTACTTGAGTAAACAAATTCTAGTAGGAAATGCCAAGCATGTTAATAAYTAAATTGATAAATGCCACTTTGACTTGGTCATGTGGTAGAATGGGATGGAAAAAACATCAAACTGCTCACCAGAGTAAGAGCAATAAGGTACATATCTACAGAAAATGGTAAATGAATGTTTAGCATTTATGTGACAGAATCYAGAGTATGTAAATATTGATTTACATTTTTGCCCCCTAGAAAAATGAGGTGGTTTAATATGCTGTTCTAAGCCAAGCATAGCTGCACTCTGTGTTGTAAAGCAAATAAATGCGTGAAAACATCAAGGTATTTTGACAGCATTTTTGTGTTATTTTGTGGCAGTGTTTTTCCAAATGGTAATGAATAGTAGCTAGTGGAACTAGCAAATAAATTGATGTCTGTTTAAAATTTTGTTCTAAACATGTGTCTCTCTTCACTGTAGAAAAACCTGGAGATTTTTGTACTTAATTCACGCTGAGAAATACCTGTGTAAGGTGTTTTGCTTTTAGGTATCTTGATATTATCAGTTCTGTAATCAAAATAATGCTGYAATAAAGTTCCCTGTGCTGTTTTAATATTTATGTTATGTGCTGTATCCACTGTGCTATTGGACTTTTTTCCCTTTCCCCACAGGCTCCCTCATTTAATGCAGGGAGTAGCTGGCACCAGCACGATGARCTGCTCTTCAATAGAGTAGATTTTTAATGATCTGTGTCATGTGAGGTTGTCAATTGCCTGCTCTACAAGCACAGATTTTGTGCTGTCTTAGTTTGAGCATCCTCTCATCTCAATATCAGGCACTCCAGTGTTTCTTATCTGAAAGTAGCTGCCTTTTATTCTATGTAATCTGGAGAGTTTTCTATTCAGCATGTTTTTCTCTATGGCTTTGTATGTTATTTCATTCATATGTAAAARTACCCCTAAATGTGTATTTATTTTTCTTTAGTATGTGTTTTCTGTGCTGTCTAGTTCACTTTTGGTGTACTTAYGGAAAGAAATAACATAATAAAGGGTTTGGAGTTGRTGGTCTTCATCATCTGCTGTGCATTGTCATCTTAGCACTCCTCTTTAGTCTTGTTTCTGCATACTTTGATCTTTTTCTGTATCCCTGCTAGTGGTTTATTTCAGGCTTTCCTCTTCTCCATCTCTTCACTTCTCTTTCACCACTGATTCCAGCTGACTGTGCCYACCCCTTGTTTTTCCCTGGTGAAATCTCTTTTATTGAAATTAAAAAGCTTTCCCTGTGTGCTGTTTGGATCTATTAGTGGAGTCTTTCCCACCTCTGGGATAAAATGGGCGGTGGAATGTTACTCTCACTTTTGAATTAATTGCAATTGATCATCCTCACCTACATGGAAGATTGAATGGAAATCTTTGAACCAATTCCCAGCTCTCCTCATCCCACCCACTTACCTTTGTTATAAACAAGGCAGAGCTTTTTAATTTATTTTTATCGTTGTTGTTGTTATTAGTGTGGTCAAATATCTATGCTGTGGCATTTGTGCTAGCACATGCAACTTAATGTAGGCAAAAAACCTTTTCCTTCCAACCTTGTGAAACTTTGGCTAGAATTTTCTTAACTTCGGGATAATATCCTGCACAAACTGTAGGAATTCTGAGCTTCACAAACTGCAAGTATGGCGTTGCTGTAGGAAGTAGAAAATGATCCTAAATGTAAAGGGTGCTAAGTAGGCCTGTTTAAAACAGGCAACCTAATGAACAGGGGGTATGATCATGGGTAGATTTTTCCAGAAGTACTTAGTGCTCATGGTGAACAGTAGGATTTATTTAGTAATGGTGTAGACAGAATAATATTCTGAAGAAATCTCAAAGCCACTTTCGCTATGGATTCAGGAGTGCCAAAAAGTGTTAGCTGCTGRTCAGGGTTGATGTCTGTTTTATGCTTACAGCTTTCCTGATTCAGAGAGACATGTCTAGTTCTCCAGGAACTATGTAGCAGTGCACTTTTCTGGAAAAAATGCAGGCCGGAAATGGGATAAACTCCACTGAAATCGTGACACTCAGCTTTATAGATTTGGTTCCATGTTCTTGAGAAGATGTAAGAAGAGGTTCTCTGCTCCTTTTTCTTAGAGTTTATTGTTAGCAGCCACAGATGAAGTTATTTTTAGGCGAGCACTTATTTCACAAAAAATGCTTTCAACCTTGCAAAGTTGGTTTTTATATAAATAAACTCCTCCATGCGTTCCCATCTGGTTACTTTTGAAATCTTCAGATTTGTTCACTGAAGCATGCTTCCTTTCCATCTCCCTCACCAATTTCCCTTCTGCAGAGTGGTGAAATTTGGAACAGTCAGCTAGCTTTGTGTTCCCAGTGGTACATCTTTTTTTTTTCTACCCCAGTCCAATCTAAATTGGATCCTTTCCTAAGAGTACAGAGAACTGAGGAGTAAATAGTTAGACTGAGTTGTGCCACACTGGAAGCTGTACTGCTGTTGATGTAAATATYCTGGGAGTCCCAGACCACCCTGACAAGCAGGGCCAGCTGCTTACCCACCCCCTGAGTGGCAGTCTGGGTTTTTCTGCTCAGCTGCACCAAAGAGGGCATCCATTTCAGAGCAGAAATAATGAGGTCATTTTTCTGAGCCTCATTTTTACACCCAGCTTCTGTTTGAACCGGCTGTGCTTGAGCTTCTCGTGGTTGCAGGATGTTAAACTTTTCCTCGTGTCCCTTCTGTCCTGATGTTCTTTGGCCTGAGATTCCATGATGGTCTTGGCTGAAGAGCTGGGGTTAGCTGGAAGATTTTGTCCTGCAATGAATGAGTCCTGTAGAGGAGAATTAGTAAGGAGAGTCAGCTGGGTCCATGAATGAGTTTCTTGCTCAGCACTACAGTTGAACTTCTCTGTGTTTCCTCCTATGCCTGCCCGACTTTCCCCACATGACTTTTTAACTGAGCTTTAAGTGCAAGTTTSAGTCCAGAAGGTGGARTTTGGTTGGGKTTGGGGCTTTTTTGTGGCCATTAGCTCTTGTCTAAACATGGGAACTTGGGAATTATGAGGTCTCTTATATGATTTGTTGCTATCAATGTATAATCTGTCTTCCTGACCCTTTATTTTTCRGCTGTGTTGGTGTTGAGCAAACATTGCAGCTGCTCTGCTCATAACAATTTGGTTTGTTGGTTTGTTTGGTTACTGAGGATGTCTTTGGGAATGGAAATATGCAAACTCCTGATATTTCACCATTAGAATTTTTGTGGTGTTTGCCCCACTGTCCCACCTTTCCAGGAGAAACATGTAAAAGCATCACTGCATGCTGCATTCTTCCGCCAGTATCTTCCCTTCTGAACAGAAGGTTTGTGGAGAAGCCCGTAAAAGGGGAAATGAATGTAACAAAACTGTTGGGATACAACTTTTTCCATGAATTAACCGTATCGATTTTCAATGCTGACTGGGCAAACAAAGAAACAAAAGTAATGTTGTTGGGGGTAAGACACACGGCTATGAGGAAAGGTGTGTCTTCACCTCCCACAGAACTTGGCAGTGCAGGCTCTGGCCTAACCTGGAAAATGGACTGTGTGGACAAAAAGGGCCACAGMCTCAGCAAGAAGTTGTAATAGCAATAGAAAATATTCAATCACYTTGTATCAACTGTGCATAGTTGGAAAACTGAACCCAAAGGTGTTGGGATAATAGCCAAGCCTTTGCATGGCCCTAAGGAAAGCAGGTAATGAAACACTTCATTATGGAGGTGGGAAGGAAGAAGATACAGAGGATCCTGAAGCATATTTGGGAGTGATCTGAAGTATCTTTTCAGCCAGTACATGATTCCASTCCTGAACACAGGATACTGTGCACGTGTGTGGTTAGATGTTACTTGGGAGTGGGCATTGCACTCTTGTTTAGATGGACTGTGAAAGCACTGCTTGCAGGGTTTTAAAACATCTTTTCCTTCCAAAGCTGTGCATCAGAAATGATGGGTGCTTGARAAATGTGATGAAGGTGGCTTGCACGTTCCTCATTGCAGCATGGCAAGCCTGGGGAGACAGACAGCACAGTTTGTTTGTTTTCCTGAGACGTTTCCAGCACTGCTTATATTGGGACAAGGCAAGAAGAGAGTGCAGGGATTGTGTCACCAGATCCTAAGACAGAAGTGGAAAAATGCCAGATTTCTTTGGCTGAACTACTGTAGTATCAYAGCTGACTGCAGTTTTCTTTGAATGTTGTTAGCTCAAGTTACAGGGTCTCTAGTCCAGCCTGTGAGCTGTCACTGAATAGGCACTGATTAAATTCCAAAGGTGTTGTACATTTTTTTAAATGTTATCTCTGCTTGGAGAAGAAGCACCTCACACTGCTGGGATCCCCCTTGTGCAGGCATGGCCAATCTTTGATTTACCCAGATGTAGCTAAGCCTTTACACAGAACAACAAATACTGTACTGGTTAAATTTTTCTTCAGAATAACTGAGCTAACAATCTGAGTTAGGTTTTGTACACTGTATTAAGTTATGAAGAACTAATTCTGTAAGCAAGCCCCTCTTGTTTTGACTCAGTTTTACTTCAGAACAATCTATCTGAGTGTATTATTTGCTTGTATTGATACTCAAATGTTGGATTTCAGTTGTGTTTTACGGCACAACCAGGATCTCCTATAAGGAAATAAAAGGCTGCTGTAATTTAAAAAGCCAGAGGCTACTAATAAGCCTAGTATTAAAGGGGGACAAAATCCAGTGGTGATCAGTTACAATTTATTTTGTTTAATCTTGGTTGGAGTGTGCAGACCATCTCTGCTTGCTCATGTGTCATAGTGAGTGCCTTAATTGCTCCTATTTTTATCTTTTGAGGCTAAAGCTTAACAAAATACCTTCAGTTTATTTTTATCATGCATCTAGTAATGGGAAGTAAAACTAATTTTGAAAGAAGCCTGTAACTTTCTTGCTTATATTGAGGATGAGGCAAAACAATGCAAGTTCTTCGTTGTGATTTTCTAAGGCAGTGGGAAATCTCAGAATTACTGCATTCATTTCAGTATCAGTTGAGTGGTTTGCTTCAACACCAAAAAACTCCTCAGAATATGGTCCAAGGCATTGTGCTATTGCTTTACTTGCAAAGACCAAATAAATGCCTTCATACCTGCCACCATCCAGGGGAAAAGGGTTTTTTTGTGGGGGAGGAGTATGTGTGAGTATGCTGGGGAACAGTGTTCTCTCTGATCAGCATCTGACTGCAGTGCTCTGCATTTTTAGGTCAGGTGTGAGTCTCAGGTTGCACAGTCTTTGGTCTGGCTGATGCACGCTCCTCTCCCAGGTGAATGTTCTCCCCCAGAGAGGAGAACAGGCTGCTCCACTCTGGAGTGACAGGATAGAGGCTGCTCCTGCCTCTCCCCCCGTGAGCAGAGCAGGGCTGTGGAACTGCCCAAAGGCTGCTGCTGCTTAGACCAAGCTCAAACACTSCCGAGRGAAYGCATGAAGCTGTCAGGGGAGGATTAGGCTGGGTATTAGAAAWGRGTTCTTCCCCCAGAGGGTGRTTGGGCACTGGCACATGCTCCCCAGGGAATGGTCACAGCACCAACCTGGCAAAGGTCAAGAAGCATTTGGGCAATGCTCTCAGGCACAGGATGGGATCTCTGGAGTGTCCTGAGCAGGGTCAGGAGTTGGACTCGTGATCCTTGAGGGTCCCTTCTAACTGAGCATGTTCCGTGGTTGTGTGTGTGAAGACAACCTGTCTGTAGCTATTAAACCATAAAATAAAATATGTAATGTRTGGCCTTTCTCACTCATCCATTTCCATAGGGTACTCCCTGTTATTGGATCTGCGTACAATAACCTTCACAGTGCCCACAGAGAACCCAGGAGCTCGGGGTTAAACTGCTGATTTGGAGCTCCTTATGTGAAAAGTTAAAAACTCCTATTTGTTAGTACCCAGCACTTCATACTCGCATGCACAAGAGTGCTTTCCATAGTTCCAGAGGGTGTTCCCGGTGGCTCTGGCTGCAGCCCTRGCATGCAGCACTTTCCTGTGCTTCCACTCAGCATTTCCATGCAAATCAGGGC